TCGCTCTTATCATAACGAGCACCTAAAAACGAACTTTGAAAAATCTACCCTGTACCTGTGATTGCTTGCCTCAAATACCATTTAATGGTAACGCCCACCTGATATATTGCAGATTTTAACTGTATCCTCCATCCCAACTGGTTCGAATGCTGAAATTAATTCGTGCATTATTCACCTTGTTAACACACGAAATGAAACTGAATTTAAACTGCATTAAACAAATTTCATACGGCAACGTTGCCGAATATCAGTGAGCTGTTGATAAATTAGGTGTGTCTGGTTACTTTTCCTGCAGGAATTGTCTAGCAACGTTTTTCTGAGAGAGTAAGGTAGTTTTATTCTCTTTTACAAGGAAAATACGAGAAGTAAACAGACGGCATTCCAGCAGAATCTTGCAACTAATCAGCTGATTTGTCAAAACAAACCAATTTGTCCTCCATTATAAGAATTAAAAGAAAGGAAGCACCACCAATTTTACAAGTTTTAGAAATAAAAAATAAATTAGCAATAAAATAAAAATATGAGCAATAAAGGAAAGGTAGATATGATGTGTTCCCAGGAATCCTTTAAATGTGTTGCTAATGGCGTATGACTAAAAAATTTTGGAAATAGTCTTTTATTTTCTTCAGCGAACGAAAACAAACGAAACGATTAACGTACCGCTCACACGAAGTCACAAACTTTTAAAATTGTTTCAATCGTTTTGTACTTCATACAAAACAAAACCACAAACCTTTCAATGCTAGAAATACACAAACAGTACGTTTGCTTTAATGTACTATGGCCGTGAGTTGCCAATCTGTTCTGTTTGCAAACAAATCGCCAGGAAACGTTTCCAAACGTTTGCTGACCGAAATTATGACTGGTGTATTTAGAGTTGCCATTCTAAATAATATTTTTATATATTTTTCAGTTGTATGCTAGACATAATTATAAATTTTTCTCTTGGTGAAAGGTCGAAGTATTGTTATACGTTTTCCATATTCTATTTTAAACAAATTTATTTTTTTTCTTGCTACATAATTCAGACCCTCGCCAAACAAAACTGTGTTGCCTATATATTTTTGCACAATACTGGCAACACTGAGTGTATCCAACAAGCTAGTGATACAATGAACTGTCAAAAATGTAAATTTAAATAAAAAATTTGTTTGTTTGTTAAACTTTTTTAACTATAATAAAAACGAACCAATCACATTGCACAAAACATTATTTAAAAATCTACTTATTTTTAAAGTATTATTATAGCATTTTTATACTCTCCACCATACATAGTATGGAGGGTATATTAAGTTCGTCATTCCGTTTGTAACTCACCGAAATAATCATTTTAGACCCAACGAAGTATATATATTCTTGATCAGTGTAAAATTCTAAGACGATTTAGCCCTGTCCGTCCGTCCGTCTGTCCGTCTGTTATAATCGCGCTACAGTCTAAACGAATTAAGATAGGAAGCTAAAATCTACCTATATCTATCTACGATTACAATTACCAGTTGAAAATTTGTAAGACCATGCCGCGACTTTGTAAGACCATGTCGCGTCCAAAAAATGATATAACACTAGAAATCTTTAATTTCGACGATCAAAATAAACGATTTATGCGCAGAAATGGAGACTGCCATAAAAAATTTTGCGGACATGAAGGTAATTTAGAAAGACACTTAAAAACTGCACACCCTAATCTTTATCAAAACTACATACAAATGGAAAATGAACAGTCAGTTAATAAAAATGCATTAAAAATTTCATGCCTAATTGATAAGAAAAGTGTGGAAAACGCTATAGTGAAGTTGTTTACTAAAAATGGCAGACCACTTCGTATGACAGAAGACCGGCCATTTAAGATTTTATATATTTTTAAGGAAATAATTGTACACTATTTTTCTAAATCTGAATTTTCTAATATATTTTTCTAAATCTGAATTTTCTAATTCAACCTCTTTTGCCGAACCAAGTAATACTGCAGATGCACTTGAAGCTTACTTCAAAACTTGTGATAGACCTTCCTGCAGTGAGCCACTCATAAAAATATTGAACGTGGCCTCTTAATTTATGAAAGACAGCCCAGATTAGCAATAAATGGAAATATTATAGGCTACTGGACAACAGAAAATAATACCCTAACAACAATTGCATTCATTTTTTATCGATTCTATGTACACAAGTAAGCGTGGAGAGATTGTTTTCGTCTAACACCAACAAACATGGAGCATATTTTATCAACAAAAGTAAATGGAGCATTTGTATTTGAACGTAAATTATTTTTTTAACCATTTTTATAATATTATTTTATTAAAACTTTTTTCAAATATGAATAAAAATATATGAATTCATCTTAATTTTACTTTCTATATTATTTGTAATGAGTTAATATACAAGCAAACGTTTGCAATGTGTATTGTACTGTTCTGTTTTTAATGTTGCGTCATCCAGCAGATTCAGTTTTGTTTTTGTTTCCGCTCACATACACAAACAGTACAAAACAAAAAACAAGTGCCGTTAGCTGAGTTTTGATTTTGTTTCGTTTCGTACTTCGGGAAAATACAGAACAAAAGGATTGCAAACGTTTGCAATAGTTTATTTTCGTACACTGATTTTCTTATTACATATTAATATTTACGTTTTTTCACATTTTATAAAGTTGTTCGCCAAAAACTATTATTCTTGCTTATTCAAAAAAAAAAAAAAAATATTTTCAAATTGAAAGCACAAAAAGAAATAAACGAACAATAGAAATCATATGATGCAATTCGTTGAATGAGAAGAAGAAGAGTTGCAAGTGATTGCAAGAAGAAATTTGTCCAGCAAGAATTTGCAAACTCTCCCGAAGGAACTGTCAAAATTTCTCTCTCCAATCGCTCTCTTTTACAGAACTTTTGTTACACTTTAAGAGCTTTTAGAACAATTCTAGTTTATTAAAAACTTTCGGTTTTTTTTGAATTTTTCCAGAGGTAGGTATTTGTACCCTGATCCCGGAAAAATATATTTTTTCTTGGAGGACGGTCCCGGATAACCTGATTTTTGGCCCAAAATTCCTAAATAGATATTGAAAATATAGGCATCATTGAAAATACCTATCCATCAAGTGATCACATGATAGGGTTATTTAAAACGGTTCCGGAGTTTTATCAAAAATTGTTCTAAATTTAATACTCCATTTAAGAAGATGGCCCTCGGCGGGGGCTTAGATTTTCTCTTCTGGGTATGTCCAACACCGTCTCCGCTAAGTTATGTTTTTTATGCTCACTGAACATAATCGGCTCGTCCGTCAATAATTATCATACAACTCCAGAACCGTTTTAAACAAAGCCATTATATGTCCACTTAATATTTATCAAATGATAAGTATATTACCTATACAGTTTAGGTAGGTCCGGGTCTTGGACCCGTACTTTCGGATCAAATATCCAGGTATCCGGGTCCGTTCCCCCATTATTTTCCCGGAATCAGTTTGCAAATGCCTATCTCTGGAAGTATGTCAAAAAATCCGAGAGTTTTTACTAAACAAGAGTTAAGCCGAGTTAAGTTTGTATAAAAAAGTTTTGCCTTTTGTATTGTTTAACCGTTATGAAAATTACATTTTATGTAAACAAACAAATGTCCATTGTAATTCAGAAACAAGCAAAAATACATTGCAATTCCGTACAGTTTTGTCGTACATAACGAAGAAGGATCCATAATTTTTGTCCTAATTTACGACGTGATTTAGAGTCTCGAAATGGTTGCTTGGCGGTAAATGGATTTGGACGAGGAAAAAATGAATGCAATATCAGTGGAAATGCCTGAGGAAGAGGCACCTATATCTACTTCCACCCAAAATCTATATAACAAACTGTTAGGGCCAATATTTGCCATGTTTTGCATAGAAATTACTAGTTTATATAATACTGTTTTAACTTTTTTAATTGTTTTACCTTTATGAAAAATATATTTTATATAAACAAACAAATGCACATTTTAATTCAAAAACAAGCAAAAATACATTGCAATTCCGTACAGATTCAGATACAGATTTAAACTTGGCCGCATGCTGTCACTACCCATATTTTATTAAGCTACATTTTAATATTGTCGATCAAGACGATCTTCTTCGTGTCAAATTTGGTATTTGGTATGGAGGAGTCAACTTTCGATAAAATGAAGCTTAGTATGATGCATCTTGTTGCAATACATCGTCCTGTACATGCTTTTTGCACTTTTTAAACAATTATTGTACATTCTTTCTTTTACCACTTCGATTTTTTGGGTTGTGGGCATACTAATGCATTTTGAACAATTTTTCAATAAAGGATTCTTTCCTCACATAAATTTGAACTATACTGAGTTCCGCAATTATTTCAGAGTGAGATTCAAGAGATTGTTCACACAGAGTCAGAGTTTCAACCGGAAGCTTACTTGAACATTAAAAAACTAATATTGGATCCCAATCATTTACACTGAATTTCTAAGAAATCGCTCTTTTTTAACTGGATTCTTTTTATACCTTCACTATTTTCTGACATTCCTGGCGCAGTTTCGAACAAAAGTTTTATTTGATTATCGCTTTGTTTCATTACGCTTTTTAAAGCATTAATGATAAAGTCGGACAATGGAAATCTATACACAATTCTACTAGCTTCTCCCTTTGTTTTATTTTTTAAGTGGTATAGTTTTTACGCTGATGTTAGTCGAGGGTGGTTCCCATATATGGCCATCAACATGTCCCTGAATGTAGGTAATTCTTCGTAACTTCCATCGGAGTCTTTTGAATCACATAGTGACCCGTTGATGCACACCTCGGGACAAATCAAATTCAGTAGTTGGTGAATACATGGCCGAACTATGAAAAAGAGATGGATTTGTAGGGTCTTCGTGAGCTGAATTCACAGATTGGTTTCTTCTCTTTTTCAAAATTTCCATTAGATTGTCTTTTGTTGATTGATATTGGATTCAAAGTATTTCTTAGCCCGTATTTTATAAACTTTCCCAATTATTTATTATTGGCAAAATACACGCTCTAGAAGACGCTACGTTTATTTTATTAATTTTTTATTTTAGCTTATTTTAATATTGTCGATCGAAACGATCTTCATCTTTCCAAATTTGGTATTGAACTCTCGATAAAAGCGACTTTAAAGTCGAGCTCTATGACATTTGTATCAATATCCTTGTAATACATTAGGTCGAACCTCGAAAAATTAAAAAAGGAAGAAATAAGTTAAAATTAATTCATAGCATTAAACTAAAATTGCCTTAAATGAAACAGGAAAAATAATATAAATAAATTTTTAATACATAAGTAAGTTCTAATTGGATGTTTTTTTGCAATTTGGATTCGATTTCTCGAAGGCGATACTTCTCATAATATTGTTATGGCGGAGAATTTGATGTAGCTCTCTCTTTTTATCGAATGGAATCCTTTAACTTAGAAGCCAGTACACGGTCAATATCTAAGTATTTAATGTTAGAGTGTCTTCTTCCAGCTAGACCTTTGGGTTTCACCGTCACTGCTTCCACGGAAGATTTCATTGGTATTAAATTGTATATTGCTTCTTCTGTTGGCGATAATATCTGCTCCTTGTTAGGTACACCTCCAGTCAATTTTTTGCATTTTAAATTCGAAGAAGCCATTTGTCTTACATTTTGGTCTGGTCCGCCCAATCCTACATACAAATATAAAGAATTACTATTATTATATAAACAATTACTAGGTTTTTAACTTTCAAAGTAAAACCTCTGGCTGAAAAATAGGATCAGGTATTTTGAAACACTATAAATCGCCCGTTACGTGAATATGTATTGACATTTTTATTTAATTCTATTTAGTCGAGTCATCATTTATATTAACAAGTAACAGAGCAGTAAGTTCGGCCTGGTAGAACTTTGAATACCCTCCACCATTAGGAATTAGGACATTTTCAAAAAATAAAATCCATTGAAAATTCTGTTAAAATCTGTGAAGGTGCCGATATATGGGGGATAAACGATATAGTGGACCTATATAGACAAAATTATGTCTAGGGATAAAATACTCACAAATAACTCCTTGTATAGAATTTAAGGCAATTCCGTTTAAAAATGTGGCAAAAATCATCAAAATACCGAATATCGGGGGGCACCGTTATATGGGGGATATACGATATCGTGGACCTATATAGACAATTCTCTTTCAGGGGGTGAAGTTCCCACAAAGATCTCAACGTGTGGATTTTCAGACTATTTTATTAGAAAATGTGACTAAAATCATCAGAATACAGAATATCGGGGGTACCGTTATATGGGGGCTATACGATATCGTGGACCTATATAGATAATTCTCAGCCAAGGGATAAAGTACACAAAAAGAACTCCTTGTGTGAATTTTTCTACAATTCCATTGTAAAATGTGGCTACAATCATCAAAATACCGGATATCGGGGGTACCGTTATATGGGCGCTATACGATATCGTGGACCGACATGGACCATCTTCGAACTTGACCTGCTTGCAGACAAAAGAGAGATCTGGGCAAAATTTTAGCTTTCTATCTTAATTCGTTTAGCCTGTAGCGTGATTACAACAGACGGACGGACGGACAGACGGGCGGACAAAGCTAAATCGTCTTAGAATTTTACGCTGATCAAGAATATATATACTTTGTTTGGTCTAAAATGATTATTTCGATGAGTTACAAACGGAATGACGAACTTAATATACCCTCCATGTATGGTGGAGGGTATAAAAATTGTGTCAATTATGTAAGCCAGATCTGTGAATTATTATGCTTTAAAAACTATGCATTAAAGACTAAAACTACGGGCCGGCAACGCGGAACGAGCGCGTTGCTGGCCCATAGTATTAGCGTGTAATGTATATTTTTAAATGGTTAGCTTCTCTCTTTAAAAACCTAAACAAAGTTGGCTTGCAAGTATCGTCAATCTACAAATTTGGCGGTGTTCATGCTTATTGCTGTTTTTCTTGTTTTGTGGTTTATTGTTGTTTTCGTTTCAACTTATTTATTTAGAATGCACAATACATATTAGGTGTGTTTGGTTACTTTTCCTGCAGGAATTGTCCAGCAACATCTTTCTGAGAGAGTAAGGTAGTTTTATTCTCTTTTGCAAGGAAATTGCGAAAAGTAAACAGATGGTATTACTGCAGAAGCTTGCAACTAATCAGCTGATTTGTCAAATCAAACCAAATTGTCCCCCATTAAAAGGATTAAATGAAAGGAACAACCACCAATTTCACAAGTTTTATAAATAAAAAGGAAATTGACAATAAAAGGAAGATAGATTTGATCTGTTCCGCGGAATCCTTTAAACCTGTTACTAATGGCATTTGTCTAAATATGTTGTAAATAATCTTTTACTTTCTTATTACATATTAATATTTATGTTTTTCAAATTTGTAAAGTTGTTTTCCAAAAACAATTAGCCTTGCTAATTCCAAAACAATATTTTCAAATTAACATCACAAAAAGAAGTAAATAAACAATAGAAAACATCTGATTGAATGTCGATGAATGAGAAGAAGAAGAGTTGCAAGAGATTGCAAGAAGAAATTTGTCCAGCAAGAATTTGCAAACTCTCACTGAAAGAACTGTCAAAATTTCTCTCTTAAACCGCTCTCTTTTGCAGAACTTTCGGGTTAACAAACGACTTCCAGTAACAATTTGTAACAATTGTTACAAACTTTAGGGTAACCAGACACACCTATTTATGGTGAACCAGCAAACCCGGACTGCTGGCTCATTGTATTAGCGTGTAATGCATATTTTTAAGAACCTAATATAAGTTGTAAATGGTTAGCTTTTCTCTTTAAAAAAGCCTAAACTTTAATAAACAATGTTGGCTTGCAATTATCGTCAATCTACAAATTTGGCGGTGTTCATGCTTATTTCTGTTTTCCTTGTTTTGTGGTTTATTGTTGTATTCGTTTCAACTTATTTATTTAGAGTGCACAATACATATTTATGGTGAATGAAGGACATGTTGCATATACGCATGTATATATGTTTTCAATTTGTTGGAGTTTTCGTCGTCAGAATCGATAATAATTTCTAAATTGAATTTAACTATCTTAAATAAGGTGTCATCGGTTTATAAAAGTTATTGATTCTATAATGTATGTTAAAGAGTACAAATCTTTGTCGATTAAATTATGCACGTGATCCTCTCAGTACTCCATCCGCTATTACGATAGAGCTCACCAAATTTAATATGTGCCTTTCAGACTTAGCAAATATTATTCTTAGGATTATTGATGTTACAGACGGTATATATTTGTTCTCATTTAGATATAGCCCTCATATAATATTATCTCCTTATATTCGTCGACTAAATGTGCTCCAATGTGGCATTTTATGATTTAAGTACACTTAAGTGTAGTCCTTTAATACTGATTTCCCATATAACCTGCCGATTTTGTGCAAAATCCTATGTCAGTTAATCTATATCCGTCTGTGTATGTGGCCGTTCGTTAAAATCGCAATAAAAGCGAAATATTTAGGTTAATTTTTGATCATTTATACAATATTCCTAGGAAGTTAGAAGATATACGTTTCGTTTCGGCATAATAATGCCGCTAAACATTCATCCTTTTGTATGGTTTTGTTATAATTTCTACCGACTTAACTGTAATTTGACATTTAAAGTTCTCAGTATTGTGAAAGCAATACCGGCAATAACTGTTTACTATTTAATTTTCTATTGTTTCCCAATATGCATAGCCCCAATTTGAAAGTACATTGGGGTTTTAAATGTTTTGATGCTTTGAGAAGTATTTTGAAATCAAAATTGTATAGAATATATGCAAAATTTCTCCTTTTTTGCAAAAACGATTTTCAATTCCAAAAGGCATTCTGAAACAATGCTATACAAAATTCCTTATCAAAATAGAAAATCCAATTTTTTCACTTCCGCGCTTTTCTATAGGCTTTTCTCAAATTTTTCATTCATGAAAACGTTTCCACTATAATTACAAAAAACCAAAAGAAAATTTGAGTCAATTCGACCAAACAGTTCTCAACATACGTGTTACTATTTTTTTTTTTAAATTTTATACATATAAATTTAAAGAAGTATGTGTGGCTAGTTCCTCTGACCCCAAACAGATACCTAGGCTTGGAGGGAGAGTCAAGAGTAGGTCATATACTACTTCATATACTACTACTTCCATATATATATGGAACGAATATCTTCATTATTTTGACAAATATTAGGATTTTAGGTGAATCCAAAAAATGGGCGTAAAAGTAGACGTCATCATTTTTTCTTTGCATAAAAACCAAAATCCTTCCAGCCGTTCTTAGCTTATTCGATTACCAACGAACAACAATTGATATATATATTAAAAAGTAGTCGTGGTCAGTTCCTCTGCCCCAAATAAATTGTACTTAGGGTTGGATGGGAAGTCTACAGTACCTTGTGTAATAATTTTCAAACCGACATCTTCATTATTCTGGCAAATATAAGCATTTTAGATAAATCGAAATAGTGCTCATAAAAGTAGGCAAGGCCAATATTTTTTTCTTTAAAAACCTAATTCGGGGTATGACGAACCTTTGTACAAAAAAAAAAAAATAATGCAAATCGGTCCGTCCTTTCCCAACTGATTCCATTACAAACGAACAACAAATGATTTTTATATATATAGAAGATAGATTACTAGAACTGCGTTGGCATTTTTGTTCGGGATACCGTACTTATTTTATTTTTTGCAAAATAAATAGGGCACCGTCGACGAAGGGGTTTTTGTTGTAACAGAAAAAAACAAATTACATTGTAATGATAGGAGGATGATTGGTGGGATGATTGGTGGGTCTTTCGAAAAAAATGGCATTCCCTGCCTTGCCTACAGGTAATCATTTCCATCTTTCTTCACTAATAATCAAACGTTGTTTTTATAAAAACATCAATTATGGGATTAAACAAAAATACCAACAAAATTCTATTAATAAACTAGGCACAGTCGACGAAGGCTTTTTTGTAACAGACAATACCAATTTGCATGGCTGTACTATCTCATTCAGTTAAACGAAGGCATAACAAGTGGAGAGAGATACCACCGAAATTTCAATCCCCCCACCTTAAGGTAAAGGAAACATTTTTATATAAAAGTATCTGGATTCAAGCGTGTTTTACTTTAAACTTTATATATCAGTAAGACCGTTTGCATAATGTAGTTAAATTTATCAAAAAACATAAAGTGAGCGAGACCGTTATATGGGGCCATACCAAAACGGGAACCTCTATAGGCAAATTTATACTTCAAGGCTTGTCATTTATCAAATCTTCTAAAATACCAAAATTTAAACAATTATGTGGGTAAATGTGATTAGGAATTGTCAAAATACCGAATATCGGTGGGTATAGTTATATGTGCGCTTAGGAAAACGTGGAATTAAATATTCAATGTTTTGCCACCGAGCTAGAACCCATTATAAACTGCAAATGCAATATTTTTTATCAACCTACTGAATATCGGGAGGTACCGTTATATGTGGTCTATACCAAAACGTAGACCTACACATACAATGTTTCGCCACCGGAACTAGAACCCATTATGACCTACAAATACCAATTTTTAGACAAATCCGTGGGGAAAAAGTGGCAAAAATCATCAAAATACCGAATATAGGGAGATACCGTTATATGTGGGCTATTCGAAAAAGTGGACCTATACATGCGATGTGAAACCATTATGACCTACATATACCAATTTTTAGACAAATTCGTGGAAAATGTGTGGCGAAAATCATCAAAATATTGAATATCGGGAGGTTATATAGCGGCAACACCAAAACGATATATCTCATTTTCAATACCAACCATCCTAGACACAATACAAGTTGTACTGCCAAATTTTGAAGGTGTACGTCAAATAATGTGGGCTGTATCGTGATTTCAACAGACAGACAGACAGACGGACATAGTTAAATCAACTTAAAATTGTATACCGATTACAAATATATACTTCATGCGGTCTGCGATGAATATTTAGGGATGTTGGCAACGGAATGACAAGTTAATATACCCTCCTTTCCAAGGTGGATGGTATAAAAATGTTTATAAGCGCGGTTGTAAAATTTAGAAGAAATGCCGAAAGAATTTAACTTTTATTCAATTCTTTGGTTCCTCTTTTATTAAGCTTACGATGTCTTCACTTGGGTAAAAAAAGGTTTTGTCATAGGAGTTTTTTAAATGACTGCTGGGAAGAACTGATGAGGATTAGTGGCTCTTTCTGAAATCATGGTATTCCCTGCATTGCGTCCTGTTAAACATTATCACCTTTCTTCGCTAGTAAACAAACGTTGTTTTTATATAAGCCTAAATATTTTGCCACAACAAAATAAAAAAGTAATATTATTTTCTATTTTAATTTATTTGGTGGTCCCATAGAGTTTTGTTGGTTTTCTGCTTTGGCCCAAAAACGGGTTGTTTCTGTCAACGAAACCAAATGTTGAATTTGCTTCTTAGTAGTGGTTTTTGACCTAAGAATTTGGAATAATTTGAGTAGTTTTTATTTATAATTGAAAATAAATATTTAATTTTTTTTAAAACTCCCTAATATAAAAGTGTTTTTTTTTTTTGGAGGAAATTACATATTCTAACGCCTTTGTGTTATCTACTTTTCTTCTCTTTATCGGTTTAAAAGGTATGGATATTTTCGATCCGTAAAAGCAATTCATTCAAATGAAAATGGGAGAGATTCCTTCCTGGTTAAGAGCTATTCGCTACCTTTCTATTAACATATTGTTTGCCTGTTACTGAACTAAATAATTGTATTGTTTATTTTAAGTAGGCCGATAACCTTAATAAAGAAACACATCGATTCGTTTCACATTACATGGGTTATTGGCTGAAGTATTTTTTTTATAAATAACAACCAAAAATAAATATTTTTGGTAGATTGCAGGAAATTGTAAGCCTATCAAGATTACACAAATCAAGAGTTATGTGCATCTACTTTTCCTTTACATTAATAAACATTTTTGGTGAATACGACGTGACCTTGAAAAGGATCAAACTCATTGATAAATTTCAAATTTCCCCCCACCAGGGGTAAGGAATTTGAAACATTTTTTAGTGAACGGAAGAAACTACTTCCGTAAAAAAGCAGCAAATTTCAAGAGCCAGAATCATGTGGAGCACTCAATCTTAACAGTTGTGTATCACAAATTTAGTATGGACCTACCTGCAATAATAGACCAACAATAAGCAGCAATATCCGAGTTGAGGAAGGCGAATACAAACATAAAAAAGGCTTCATTGGAAAGAAGAACGGTTGAGTTCTACAACAGAAAGTTGGAGGAGATGGAAGCACTCAGCGCGGACATCGATCGCAATGAAAACAAAATTCGAGCAGATCCCATATCATCACTAACGAGTACCAAGTCATTGGAGAAGAATACAGAGCTGCAATCGACAACATCGAGGTGGATATCAAAAGGAACAAAGAACAAATGCCTCAGAAACCGCTTCCCGCCTCAAGTGATGGAGTACAGAATTATTCCAGCCAGTCTTCTGCAACCAGCAGTGCGGCTGCGTTAGTGACACGTCAGAGGGGTCTAATGCAGTCAATTCAAACTTTAATAAGGGGCGGCCATTGATAAATTGAAGACATCCACTTTAAAAGTTTCGAGAATTTTGGTGACCTAACGTTAAAATTCAAGGATAAAATATCAAATTTGTTATTTGATGTTCGTAATGGATGCTACAGCCTAAAACAGAAAATTGTCTGTGCAGGTCCACGTCTTCGTATAGCCCCCAAACAACGGTACCTCCCCATATTCGGTATTTTGATGATTTTAGCGACATTATTCACCCGAATTGTTTCAAATTTGGTATTTGAAGTTCGAAATGAATACTACAGCCTATGACTGAAAATTGTCTGTGCAGGTCCACGTCTTCGTATAGCCCCCATATAACGTTTCCTTTAGATATTCGGTATTTTGATGATTTTAGCGACATTATTCACCCGAATTGTTTCAAATTTGGTATTTGAAGATCGTAATGGATATTACAGCCTAAGACAGAAAATTGTCTTCGCAGGTCAACGTCTTCGTATGGCCCCATATAACGGTACCTCCAGAGATTCTGTATTTTGATGATTTTAGCTACATAATTCATCGATTTTTTTCAAGTTTCCCATTTGAATATTGTAATATCTTGGGCAAAAGTTACCCATGCAGGTCCACGTCGTCTTATAGACCCTAATAAAATAGCTACATTCGGTATTTTTAAGATTTTAACAGAATTTTTAACGGATTTTATCGTTTATTTAAAGTTTGTGGCAGCGTTGTTACATTCCCCAATGTGGCGGCGCTAGAATGAACCATCCGACTTGCTCGCGGGCTCAGGGTCTCGGTTCTCAACCATCCATGTCTAACACCTCAGGGCAAACATAAAAAAATTACAAATAAGGAAATTTTGATGTCTTTATTCCCACATTCGCCCGCCATTCCATGGTCTCCAAATTTCCATATTTCAATTTACTGGAAACCCCACAAGACACACACACTCATCTCACCACCTTACCTCAAGGGAAACCCCCTCATACAAACAGATCACCACATATTTATTTTACTAATCAAACATTAAAAACATTTATTGATACAAAGAGTTTCTTAAAACTAATTTTGTTTCTGTTTTGTCTAATATTTCTCTCTTTTTATGAAATATCTAACACCAGTTTAGCGAGAAAAGTACTATGATTTTTTTTCAAGAACTCTTCCTAAAAAGGTTACTATAGAATATATTGCTTTTTATTCACGCAATTTCACTACCAAAGGACTACCTTAAGAGAGCTTACTTAAGATGGTTATTCCTGGGCCAAGGTGACCAATTATTTAACCCAAACTTCTCTAGAAAACTTTTGGTGGAATCGTGAAACAAATTGTAATTAAATCCTGGCGTTAAAAATCCTCACAGTCGAGTTCACTTAAACTCTAGGACATTCATAAAGACAACACAATTTCAATACGAAATATATAGAATTTTGTTTTAAGGTTAAATTTCTATTTTTGGTTGACAATTACATCCTAATTGATGCCTCTTCTCAAATTTTTAAACATATGAATTTTCTTTTTTTCAGGAAACCGCCGTCACATCCTAAGGGTTACCTTGTGCTCCACCTTGAATATGCGGCAACTGATATTACCTACACATACATTTCCCCAATCTAATACACGGGTATTGCAGTAACTGTCAATTTGTGGGAAAGGCTGACACTACCGGCACTTCTATTCGTTTCTTAGTTTCAAGGATGAGGCAACAAAACAACGAACATTGCTGAGGATAATTCGCAAGGGACGATGTGCGTAATACCAAATTCATAACGTGGGGAACTCCCACACCCTGGATTCTCCAAGCCGGGGATGGATTCCCTGATAGAAACATTCCAATACCACTCGAAGTTCCATGAAAAACGGTAAATTTCATATTGCGTTAGTAGTATCTCATTTACATAAATGCATACATTGTAGTTCACACATACTACGCTGTTCGTATTTACGACAACGAACCATGTCCATAGTAATAAACGCGTACATCTCTTCCTTCTGTACCTTCGGCATTTTGATGATTTTAGCGACATTATTCATCGATTTTTTCAAGTTTTCCATTTGAATATTGTAATATCTTGGGACAAAAGTTACCCATGCAGGTCTATGTCATCGTATAGACCCTAATATAATAGCTACATTCGGTATTTTTAAGATTTTAACAGAATTTTTAATGGATTTTATCGTTTATTCAAAGTTCGGCCCGGCCGAACCTAAAGATTTTTATTTGTTTTTTTTTT